TCATTCTCATTTACTGAGTGACTATTAAGTGCCAGGCAGTTCTTGCTGGAGATACAGCAGTGAACAAAGGACAATTCTTGGAGGCAGACAGTAAATATAAAAATGTCAAATGTTAAGTGCTAGTAAGAAAAGAGTAGGATAGGAAAGGGAAATAGGGTGTGTCAATGGAGTTACTGTAATTTTAAATAGAGTGGGTTAAGTGACATTTACAAGAGACCAGAAGATGGAGGACTCAAATGGAAGCAGATATGTGAGGCAAGAATTCCAGGCAGAGGGAAGGGCATCTGCTAAGGCCCTGAAACAGAACAGCACGGAGGCCCAGTGTAGTTGGAGGTGAATGAACAACAGAGGTAATGAAGTCAGAGAGGTAATGTGGGCCTATGATGTAGGGCCTTATAGTCCTTTTAAAGGGCTTTCACTTTTACCGTGAGATGGGAAGCCATGTGAGAGTTTGCGACAGAGAAGTGACATGATCTATCTAATAGCTTTGTTTTTTATCAGAAACATTCTGGTTGCTGGCTTAAGAACAAACTAGAAATGTATGGGAGCTACTGGCAGTGATCCAGGAGAGAGGTGGTTATGACCTGGAGCATGGTGGTGAGAAGTGGCTAGATTTTGGATATATTATAAAGCCAAAAAGATTTGCTGACATACTGGCTTGGGGGAGGGTAGGAAGGAGAGGTGAGTCAAGAGTGGCTCCCAGGTTTTTGGGTTAAACAACTGTAAGCACAGAGTTACCATTTACTGAAATGAGAAGAACTGTCAAAGCTTGTTGGGGGTAAAGCTCAGGTTTTGGACATACTAAGTTTGAAGTGCCTACTGGACATTCAGAAGTTGTCAAGAAGGGATGAGGATAGAATTTGGGGGAGAAGTCTGGGTTGGCTATATAAATTTAGACGTTCTCAGTATATGGTATTTAAAAACCACGAGGCTAGATGAAAAGCTCACCAAGAAAGTGATTGTAGCTAGAAAAGAGGTCCAAGGGCTGAGTATTGGGACACGACAATATTTAGAGGTTGAGGAGATTAGGAGGAAGGTCAAACAAGGTTAGAATTTGGATTTTTCACGAAACTGAGAAGCGTCTGGGGTTTCTGAAATGAGGGGAGTGAGTTGATCAGCCTTCTCTTATAGATCATTCTGAGCGGAATGGAGGAGAGCTGGGTGACAAGAGCCTAACCCACAGCAGACGGGTGTTCTCCTTACCGTGTGACGAACCGTAGGCCCAGCTGTAAAAGAAAAAGAGATTCGTGAGGGGCAAAGGAACACCTTCTCGCCGCTGGCCTCCCGCTACCTCTCCCGTCCTCTTACAGAAGATAACGGGCCTGACCCGGGCAGCTGTCTTGCAGTCCCCGAGCCGCAGCCTCAAGGTAGTGCTTCTGCCTCATTGCTGCTGCCGCTTGCCCGCCACCGCCGCTCTCTCACCGCTTTCCCGCCGCTTAGACTCAGTGAAAAAAGGAAGCTCCGGAAGTCGGCTTCCCAGCGTCGCAGTCGTTGGCGTCAGATCCAAGCTCCCTCCGGAAACAGGAACCCTCGGCTAAGGGGTTCCGGCTTCCTTCGCGTCCGGTCCGGCGTGCCGGCGTACCCAGACGGGAGGTGGCCCTCACCCCCCCGCGGCCCCGCCCCTCGGTCCCATCCCGTCCCTTCAGGCATCCGGCGAAGGGATGACCCTGGGCGGAACAGCTTGACCAGGCAGGGGTGGCAAAGTCCGGAGCCGAGGGTGACACCCGTCTGCCTTCCTCCCCTGCCTGCCTCCTCTCGGACACCCCTGTTGTGGTTTCCCCACAGCAGCATGGCCCTCTGGATTCGCGAGCCTGTGTATTGACTCGACGAGGCGGCTGGGAGGACCCCGCCTCCGACTCCGGCCTGAGAGAAGGGTCTCCAGTCCAGCCTGCCCTTCGCACGTGTACAAGCCAGAATTTTTTTCTTTTTGTAATTGACGTGAAATTCACACGGCATAAAACTGACCATTTTAAGGTGAACAATTCATTGACATCTAGCACATTTACAATATTGTGCAATCAAAACCTTCATCTAGTTCCAAAGTATTTCTGTCCCGCCAAAGGCATCCATGAAGCATTTACTTCCCATTCTCCTCTTCCTCCGAGGCCCTGGCAACCACTAGTCTGCTTTCTGTCTCTATGGATTTACCTATTCTGGGCAATTCGTATAAATGGAATCATACAATATGCGGATTTTTGTGTCTAGCTTCTTCCACCTGGCAACGTTTGAGTTATTCCTACTTTTTGGCTATTATGAATAATGCTGCTATGAACATTTATTTTGTTGAAGTCAAAATAAAAATGTAGAGATGAATCTCATTTAATCTTTTATTTTGGAAGAAAGAATTGCAATTTAGGGTACACACGCAGACCAACTGGTCTTCCATAGGTCTGAAGAACAAAGAAAACGTTAGAGGTTTTATGAAAAAGGAGAAACGTTACTATTGCTCTTGGAGGAAGTCCATTGGCACTAGTACGGGTTTGGGGAGCTGGCAGCGGTGGGCAAAATTAGTCCTAGAGTTGTAGCAAGTTATCCCAGAGGCTGTAGATAAAACCGGTTTTAGATTACAACAAGCATTTTCAGCAGTCAGGCTTGCAGAGAATTACAATCTTGGAGCAATGTTTTGTATCCTGAGTGCTTCCCCTCCCTGGCTTCTCGCTCCATTAGTTGAATATGACAAGCATGACCCAAATCGTAGGATCAGCTTTCACAGTTTGATTATCTGTTTTCTGTTCTTTTGGGTATATACATAGGAGTCGACCTGCTGGGTCATAGGATAATTCTATGCCTAACAAGGATTCCTAGGAAGTGTGGAGTAGCATCTTATTGTGGTTTTGATTTGAATTTCCCTAATGATTGATGCTGTTTCAGCAGCTTTTCAAGTGCTTGTTAGCAATTTGTATATCTCCTTTGTAGGAATATCTGTTTAAGTTCTTTGCCCATTTTTAAACTTTTTTTT